TGAAAAGTTCTAGTGTTCAAGAAATTCTGAATGAAAATTGGTAGGTTCTGCACAAGCCACTCTTGTGAAGATCGCGAAGTATACAGTATCTTTAAGCCTTATCATAAGCTTTCTCAATGTCAAAAAATACCGAGACAAGGTGACTCCTTCTTACAAAAGTTTTCGAATGGATGTCTCTAAGAGGAGCATATCATCTGCATCATTGATAAGCACATCTTCTACCATTTTCTGTGTGAGCTCTGCAGAGGAAGAGAAGAGTTCCCAGTCTTCCCTATCCAGTATGAAACGAGGGAGTCTCGACATGGGGTTCGCTCCTCTTTGTGCAAGAGATAAAAGAATGGGATAATGTCGCTGTTGTACAGATCACTTCCAACACTAAAATTGCAAAATGGCAATAGAGATGGTGAACAGATGGCTAAATCAAGAGCATGAAATGTCTTTGTAGGTTCATGGAAGTAAGTGTCCTGCCCATTATTCAGGAGAAAAGGCAATGGTCTTCAATTACCTGCTCAATTTGTCTTCCTCGTGAATTGGTGTCTTTACTACCCCACAACGGACTATGGCCTTTAAAATCACCCATTATGATAAAAGGCTCAGGAAGCTGAGCCACAATGTCATTTAAATCCCGCTGATCAATGTGTTCATTAGGAGGCAAATAAAGAGAAATGACTGAAACTACAATATGAAAATTTACTTGTACAGCGACAACTTGGAGAGATGTCGTCGAAGGAAAGGAACTTTAGGGATAGTCTAGTGAAGTGAGGAGACATACACCTCCACTGGCACACTCACCTGCAAGGTTATCCTTCCTGATGAGAGAAAACCTCCGAAGTTTTGCATGTTGATCTGGTTTCAAATTTGTCTCTTGTATTGCCAAGCACACAGGATGATAACCATTGATCATAGCTTTGATGTCAAGGAAATTTCGGTGGAAACCGCAACAGTTCCATGAGACGAGGGTGGCCATTATTATTGATATTTGTTCTTCCTGTGTTGCTTTTTAGTTTTCCGCGGAAGCAGATGTTCGGGAACTTCCAGACCTTCTTCCATACTATCTGAGTCTGTAGATTCAGAAATCATTTCTCTACAGAACTATTGCTGGAACTTCTATTTTTGTTAATTGATTTTGGAGGGTCATTTTTTGGTTTGCTTTGAATAACTATTTCTTTATTTTGTACGACGTGTGTTGGATTTTCCTTTTTCTTGCTTGCAGGTTGCTGGGTTTTATTTTGTGCAGTCTGTGCACTTATTGAGGTTTGGGTGGCAATGGTATGTATTGTTTTAAGGGCACTGGCATATGATTTGTTTGTTTGGAGCTTTGTGCTTTGAACTAGCTTTTTGGCTTCAGCATACAAGATGTTCCTAGTGACTTTTAACATCTGTACTTTCTTTTCTATTTTCCATTTTGGGCATGATCGAGAAAACGGTGAATGGTCACCTTTGCAATTCATACACAGTGCCACAGCAGTGCAATTTTCGCTATCATGGCCAACCAACGAACATCGAGCGCACGTCAGGACATCTTGGAATGGCCAAAACGCTGGCACTAGAAGCATCGCATAGGATTTGGAATATACGGTCTTATGGATCAATTAAGATATCCAGCCTTGATATTCTTCAGCAGATCAGGCGTCTTGCAGGTCAAGATGACGTGTTTCATGTCAATCAACTGACCTTCTTTATGCATCTTGATCCACTTTGCAGCACAAACCTTTTGATCAGCTAACTCAGAAACAAACTCTTCTTCAGGAACAGACAGAAGGTCGACTTCCGAGATTATGTCGCAAGAAAAATTCAATGTCTTATGCCCTGTTACAGTGACAGTTGCTTTACCAAGTTTGGTTATTTGAAGTACAGAAGCAGACTGGGTGGCCGAAGTTGCATCAATAAGCAAGTCTCCAGAGCGGAGACGCTTAATATTTCAGGGTTCACCAATACAAGAATGGATATATTTATTTATAACAAAAGGAGACGTCTTTTGCAGCTCACCAGAAGGGCTAGAGACAACAAGGAAATGGGGACTATTGTTAGGATTATTAGCATTTGCATCTGTATGTAGTTTTTTAGAAGATTTATCAAGACTAGATCTTTGACCAACTTGGCTAACTTTAAAGTCTTTAATTAGATAAATATGAGAGTTTGCCTTATTGAAGAGAGGAAAGATTCAGGTCCGACGGCCCCGCCCACCACGGAGCCCAACAAGGGAACACAGATTCCTGTGTTAGGGCTAGCCGAACCTATACGCAAACGTAAGCCAAACAGTCGGCTTTCCCTAAAGCAGGTACTCCTGAGAGCTTATCCCCAAGCCACAGACACAAGGACTAGTGACCAGCCGACTGACACCCGTGAAGACTACTAAGGTGCCTCCCGTTTAGCTGAAGTGTGTTGGGGATAGTACCTCGCCCCTCAACTACCAGGATCCTCCTTTCCAGCAACACGGGTCTCCATGCACGGCAAACACGTGGGCAGTTTTCTCGCCACTCGAAAACTAGAGACAAGGGCTGTTCCAATCTCTCGTGACGAGCCCCAAACTCCAACGAGAGAAACCAGAAGGGAGAAGGGAAGGGAAAAATTCCAGCCAAGAGGAGAGGAGAAGGAAAAAAGGATAGATCACTGGGGCTCCAGGATCGTGACACCCATCTCACCAAGAAGATGATCCCCTGAAGGGCTAGGGAACCTCGGGATTGCCACACTCGTACTCACAAAAGTGAGCCCCTGAGGGGCAAGCCACTAGAGAGGGCCTTCGCCTAACTGCATAAAAATCGCCAATTTGCAAAAAATACTATATACCTAAAAACATACAAGCCTTCTCTGGTATTCAAACCCAGGCCAACAAATACAGCTGCCAGCAACACTAATCACTATGACAATCAGGGAAGCTGACTAACTGTATTGTAATGATAACTACTCTCTGAACATGATACATATTTATATGCAACACATTTTAATTAATAATATTTTAAATTATTATAAATTATTTTTAAAGCTCACAGTATTGTACTGGAAAGCTAACAATACTGGCATCCAGCAAGCTTTCCTTATTGGACTTAGGTTTAAATATAATAATAAAATTGACATGTATTAAAAAGGTTACATAAATGGAAATAAAATGCATAATTTTAAGAATTTATCTCAATTTTGGAATTCACAAAATGCAACGAAATGCTGAAATAACAATTTCCTTTGAATAAACTAATAATAGCATAGAAATTATTTTCTCACGCGAGTATAAATATTCATATGGACTGTGAAGAAGAATCTATATGTGCTCCTATCCATGTGTATTTTCATCCATCTGTCAGGTAGGCAATCATGACTGAGATTTCTTCTGCCAGCTTTTGTGAGGGAAGCCACTTTCACAAACACAGTCAAAAACAGCATGCAAAATTTATGAGCATTCAGATATGAAGTACTTAAGTTAGGTCAAACAAGAGAGATTAGTGAGAACAACTCGATAAACAATGTAAGCATTTGTATATTTATAATGTGTATGGAATATGCATAAAAATATTCCTCATTAAAGCAATTCACATATTTCCAAATGTAATAAAAATAATAATATCACAACAAATAATTTATAATGTCTGAAAGACAACGGAAATACTTTTTGTATACAATATTAATAATCTCAGAGTTGTGTGACGCTGCTCATATAATTGGTGTGTGTTATGCATATATCAGTGTAACCACAGTATGTAACAAATAATTGATTGATTCATATATGTGTATGGGCATAAATAAATATATATATGTAAGATAAAAAATATGAAAGGAAACTTCTAAATTTAATTCACTATAACCTCTTTGATTTTCTATTTTCATTTGGGAACTTCATCTATCTGTCTTAAAAATAGCGCTTAAGTCTAAACTGCGTCATTCAAATTAATCATGCAGTCTTACGTAACCCTTAATGCAGATGCCTCTTGACCAATAACCAAATTGTAAACCATAACTAAAAACTGACTCCCTCCCTTCTTTCTCTATGAACTGATGCATCACTTTCGCTTAAGCTTTCCTCCTGGCTACCTTCTTTGTTCAAGGAATCTGTGCTGATCTAACAAAAATGTAGAGCGCATAAGATGCTCGTCCGTATGTGAACCAAATATTGCGAAACCTGATTTGCTTTCCTCAATAATAAAGTTATCTTGAATGCGGACATGTTTGCCTTGCCAAGTTTCTTTGCTACTCATCTATTATGTCACTGCCAAGCTCCAAATCATTCATTTTATATCATGACATATATATATATATATATATTAAGGTGGCCACAGTGTGTGATAAATGTTATTAGTCGAGGGAAAATAATGTAAGAAAGAAAGGATGCATAATTTTCAGTTGCTTTTATGAGTAGAAAAGCTGGTACTGTTCTGTTATCGGGACTAGATTTAGAAACGTATGAATATATGTGCATGTGTATGTATGTGTGTGCATACATGTGTGTATGTATATACACACATACATTTATGCTTACATATATACATTCATACATGAACACATATATCTTTGATTTAGTCTTGATAAAAGAACAATACTGAAAAGTTATGTGAAGAAATGAAATGATTTGATGAAATGAAATATTTATTATTTAAAATCAAGAACTTTTTTTTTTTTTTTTTTTTTTTTTTTTTTTTTTTTTTTTTTTCATTTAAATACTTAAATGCAGGTATGGCAGAAAAATGCAGGTAAGGAGGTAAGGAACACATGTGTCCTTGTGGTGGAGTGATCAGTACATTTAGCAAGACAATGGTCTTGGTTTTGATTCCCAGTGATGGCACAGTTTATTTTGGATAATTTTTTATCATAAAAACCTAATGACTCAATTAACAGATCAACTTTCTTTATTATACTATGAGGTAACCTCACATTCCACTGCATCTTGCAAAATAAATCTGACTTTTCTTAATTAAATTTGTATTTTATCTTACAAAGCTTATTTGTGAATGCATATATCGAAAGTATCAGATTTTTCTGAGAATAAGAAAGACACCTAGACTCAAAAATAATTTTTTTAAATAAATAAATAATTCCATGTCTGAATTTTAATAAATACAACAAAATATACACCTATAAATTTATAATAAAAATTAATAGCACCATAATTAAGTCATATAAAAGTATATGAATCAATTTTATGGCTTTTAGTAATCATAACCTTCATCGACATTATCATCATCTTCCTCTAAGTAACTTTCTCCATTATCAAAATAATTAGCAGCATAATCTGTTCCCTAGAATAGAAAAGATAAAGTAATTTCAGAGACATTTTATGTTAGTAACTGAAGAAACACTGGATTAAATAAATATTCAAAAAAAGATTTTAGTTGCATAAGTTTACTAGAAGTATATACTGTTGGCCTCGGTGACACATATTTAAGCCTCAGAACACAAAAGCATTATTAACAGATTGAATAATTAATATGAAATTTAACAAAGAAAATCAAAAATACACTTTGAAAGCAAATATAGTTATTTCTATTATTCAATTAAAATGGTTATTTCTATTATCAAATACACTATAACTGTAATATGCATGTTCCTCATAAGCATTACATGACTCAAAATAGTCTTAAAAAAATCAAATATTCTAGCTACAATGCACTTATAACTCTTACTTCTTTGTCAAATAAAGTATAACAATTATTAATGCAGTTAAAACTTAGCAAACAAAAAAAATTCAAGTTACAACAGTTAATTTTAATATGCCTCTCCCCAAAATCTAATTTTTATTTTATTAATTCTGGAATTTATTAATTTTTTAATTTTTATTTTACTTAATTTTGGAATAAAATGTTTTAAATAATTCAAGTACACAGAAACTACTTTTAGAGTGGTACTTTTAGAAGTAGCAGCTTTTGTACATTGTGAATTGGACCCACTAGTCAATAAGCAGTAAAACAATTGAACATTGGTACTTCAACCTGGATTCAAATCCTGGTGAACAGACCGCCTATGTGACAGTTTTCATGGATTATCCCCTTATAATGTGAATACAGGCTAGCTTCCCTTAAAAAGCCCTCCATGACGGCACCTCTCTTTCACCATGAAGCACTGGAAGGCAGATAGCCCTTGGATACTTTGATATAATCTAAATAATCCTTATCCTTGTATGTTACAAGATGCCAAAATTATCACAGCAACACAGATTCTCTATCATCTGTTCAGGATTAAATACAAAATAGCTGGGGCATAAAGCCACTTACAAAAATTAAATTTAAAAAAGAAGTCTCAGTTTAATTAATTTAGATGAAGGAAGTCCATACGTCTATATCAACAAAATCTTATACTAGTTTCAAAGATGTACTGTACCCCGATTATGTGAAGACTTTTATCTTTTCTAACCTAAATTTTTCCTATTTCCTCAACTTTAAGCCAGTTTAATTTTCACGTTTTAAGATTTTACAGAGGACAGCATCTTTTAGAAAGTTTTTTCCGCTGCCATGTTGGAGTTGCCACTCACCGTCCTCATCAGTTATAATTTTTACAGACCGCACAAATTTTAACAAGATAGGACATTTGGAACAAACACAAAAATACTTTTTCTGCTATTGGACACTTTGAAACTTATCGGCTACTTTTTCCAAGAAGTATAACATTTTGCTTCTCTAGAGCAACCTTGAATTCAACTTTCTTTTGCAAGGAACACAGTTTGGAAAAAGATGGTCATATTTAGAATTCAGTAAGTTTATGCTTCATTCAATTTTCGTTTCAAATAGATTTTCAGTTTTTAGCTGTTAAAGGCTCAGATTACATTCTATATTATTTATAGAAATCTCTTCAGAAAGGTTTTTCTTTTCTTAGTATTAAAAGTTTAGGATCGCATAATCGGGGACCACCCAATTTTAGAGTGATGTTTAAATGACAATTTGATTTAAAAGTATATTTGTTTTGTTCTTTAATTTGTAATTGCTTCTGAATATCAGATTTACATTTAATGTTATTTGTTAAAATTTTGTTTTTTTGAGTGGTCAATTTGCAGAAAGTAAAGGGTTTTTTTTTTTTTTTTTTTTTTTTTTAGTCAGTTTGGCATAATGTAATGTTTTATTCTTTTTGGATAGATTTGAGATTCAATTTTCCGGTTTTAAGTGAATTTTAATGTTTTAAATTAAAATTTAATTGAACCTTTTTTTGGTTTTTGATCTCAAATAAATCAGAAGAATGAAACGTATTCAAAACATATTAATTGACTTTTATGAAACTTAAATTCATTTTCCCTTAAGAGTTCTGAATTTGAGTTTCACAAAAAGGAGATTAATTTATATATTTTTTATTTATACCCCCCTCTTCTCATTTTTATTTTTTTGGTTTATTCTACTGATGAAATTACTTACTTTTAATTCTTATTTTAGTTTGATTTGTGTTGATACACTGTTAAATTTCTTATCCACAGTTCCAATTATTAACTGGGCATTGTCTTGTTTTGATTCCAATCATTTATAGAATGCTAGATGCTAGATGCTTTAAGTTTAATATGAGGCGTATTCGGAAACTAAGTACCGTTTTGAAAAAAAAAAAAAAAATATTAAAACAATTTTTTCGAATCCAATTTTATTTTTACATGAAAATACATGTCTTAAACTATTTTTCAACATAGTTTCCGCCAATGATCAAACACTTGTCATAGCGGGTGACCAGTTTTTGTATACCATCGTCAAAGAAACTCCCCCCCCCCAGTTTCGATAACCACGACTCCAGAGCATTTGTGTCATCGTCAGATCCAAAGCGCTTGCCACCAAGCTCGCGCTTCATGTGCAGGAACAAGTGATAGTCGGACGGCGCCAAGTCCAGGCCATACGGCGGGTGATCAAACTGCTCCCAATGAAACTGTCGAATTAACAATTGAGTGACTCCAGTATGGGGCCGAACATTGTCATGGAGCAACACAATTCCTTTACTAAGCATTCCTCTTCGTTTGTTTTGGATGGCACGCCTTAGTTTTGTTAAAGTCTCACAATATCGTGCCGCATTAATGGTTTCACCTCTGGGAAAAATTTCGGTAAGCAAAACGCCTTTCCTATCCCAGAAGACAGTGCACATGATTTTTTGTGATGACATTGTCACTTTGAACTTTTGTTTTTTCGGAGAATGTGTCTCCATGTTGTTTCGATTCTGGTGTGAAATCACACACCCAAGTTTCATCACCTGTCACAATTTGGTTTAAAAAGTTTTCTCCCTCATCACTGTACCGTGTGAGAAATGTCTTGACTACCAAGTCGCTTTGTTTTGTGAACATCAGTGAGCATTTTTGGAACCCATCGGGAACACAGTTTGAGATAATTCAAGCGGTCAGACACAATTTTGAACAAAACAGTACGTGAAATTTGTAGAAATGACTCTGAAAGAGTTGTCATTGTGAAGCGCCTGTTCTCATGAATTGCTTCATCAACTTTCCTTACCAAATAAATCATCGGTGACAACAGAAGGATGACCATTCCGAGCCTCGGCGTGGACATTTGTTCGACCCGCATTAAACATTCTTACCCACTTTCTCACCATTCCATCACTTATCTCATATTCACCGTAAACTTCTGTCACTTGACGATAAATTTTGGCCGGTTTAACATTCCTCGCGTTCAAAAATTTAATCACGGCACGAATCTCACAGTCAGTGGGAGAACTAATTGTCTTAAACATTTTGAATACGCACAGCAAACTGAAAACACAACATAGAGCAACCAAAATGGCGACAATTGAAAGTGAGTGAACAAGAAAGACTAGTGTGCATGTGGGGGACGCCTACCACAGCGCTGCGACGGCGCTAGAATGAAACGATACTTAGTTTCTGATATACGTATATATATGTATAATTTATTTATAAAAGCAAATTAAATTATCTCTTAGGAAAAGTAAGAAAAAATGCAATCTTTTATGCTATTGAGGAAAAATATTTAAATTATGTGCTAGAGCATAATAATAAGCTTCTTCATACCAACTTAATTCTGTGGAATTAGAGAGCATTTTCAACAACATCACTTCAGCAATATCTCAATACAAATTTTGGATATTATTCCTAATACTAAAGAACAAATTTTTCAAGAGTTACTTCACATCCTTAAGCATCATATGCTCTACTCTTATCGAAAAAATACTTACAAGCTTAAAAAATAACTCAAATAACTCCATTTTTGGATTGCTTTACTGCAGTAAAACACATACAGATAGAAGAGGAGGACGTCTCAACAATAAAAAAAAAATTTACCCACTCTTGATTTTCCAGTATCGGAGACATATGTTCAAAAGGTACTTAATTCTAAAACTTTCCCAAAAAGTTTCTTACATGGTTGTTTTCTTGTAACAATAAATTTCTTTTACTTCTCAATAATTACATTCTTTTGCAAATATACAGATCAATAAAGACCAATTTCTTGATTTTTGTAAATTCAGGCATTTTAATGCAAACAATCCATACAAAAATATTTACTTCAAAATTAATTTTCCACATCCTCAATTTGATAAATTCAACTTCTATCACATTTTCAATAAATGTAAATTTTTTTCCTGTTGATTCACACCAGACCTGTTGCTGCATTTAAATTTCTAAAAGCTTTAAGCAATTTGCTTACTAATCATCATAAACTAGACAATTCTACAGAATATCATTGCAAATTGCCGCAATTCATTTTTAATGTAGATTCTCACCACCACATAAGTTACTGGTAACTTGGATATCATTCAAGGCCCATAGCTTAAAAAGCTCATGAATTTTGGAACTGAGTACAGACCAGTTAGATACGTCAACAAAAATTTTTGCTTCAAAGATATTGAAAAGAGTGGCAACAAATTTATAGTGCAAAATATCAACTGCTATGACTTCAAGGATTTATATACTTCGCTACCTGTTAGAAGAAATCTATATATACTAGCCTTTTTGATCTTCCCACTTTCCTTTGATGCTCTCAATCATTGACTTTAATAGATGAAAAGCATACCTTAAATGCACTATTTGGAATACATTTGTTAACTTTGAAAATCGACTTTCAAACACGTCAAAGCAATCTCAATGGAACTACATACTTGCACCAGTCTGTGCAATCTTTTTCTATTTATTAAAGAATCTGAGTACCAAAAATCTTTGCAAGAAGAATTAACTTACTATGCTGACACATACAGGTATATTGATGATCTAATTATCATTAATAATTTTGACAATATAGAGAATTCTCATATTTATTTAGTGTCAAACTAAATAAAACTAATTCATCGCAAAAAATAGTCAACTATCTGGATCTTC